TGTTCTTTCAAATTTGTTTACTTCCAAACCATTATGAATTGAAATCCCCTATTACTTGAGCCTTATTTGCTTACCTGTTAATTGTATCCCAAATTCACAATAACTGTTTGGCCGGGAACCACACTAGTGGATCCTGAGGGGTGCCTAACACCTTCCCTTTAGGATAATTTTAAAGCCCTTACCCTATCTTTGGTTATCCAAGTTTAGTTATAATTAAACCCTGTAAGGTGTCCTAATGCACCATAAATCATTAGGTGGCGACTCTTCAAAATCCAGTTCCCAAAAGGAACGAGTTGTCCCTCCAAATATCATGAACCCGATTTCGCGAGAAAAAAGGGGGCGCGACACCATGCTCCCCGCCCTAAATCATGTATAGTAATGCTATATATTTTAAAAAAATATTTAAAAATATGTGTGTAAACCCACGCTCAAAGTATTATATGAAGTGATGGTTATTGGGTGTACCTCTAGGTGAGGTTATGAGTTTAAATCTTATGTCAATCTTGTTGTTTTTTCCTTTTTTTTCTAGAAGTAGACACCCACGGGAGATAGGCGTGTCTGGTGTTATTTTTTGCGTATTAATTAAGTACTTTTTTTTTGTTTCTTTTATTGTTTGGTTTATTCTTTCAAAATTTTCACATATTAAAATTCCTATTCTTCTTTTTGTCGCTGTAAAATCTTATATGATTAAACAAAACGTGTATATTAAAACTAGTAGCAGTGTATGATGTAGCATATAGTGAATGAGTTCAACTGATCTCAATATTTTCAACATGAAAAATAAATATAAATGTAAGAAAATTACTATTTTTTAAAAATAATAATTTTGAACTTATAATTCCAAAAGTACAAATGGGTACGCAATCATAAGAACTAAAGGTTGAACTCGTAAAATTTATATTCTGGATCCACCTCTTCTTAATAGTGCACCCATCCTGCCAAAATCCTGGATCCGCCTCTGTGTTTAGGACGCACAATTCAACGCTTGGGGTCGTGAGTCTCACAAAAAAACTAAGCCCCACACATGAGCCTCAAGGCGTTTTAATAGTGTCCCGCCCTGGGGGCAGCTCCGAGGCGAATGCTAGAAAAGCCTTTTAAAACACTAATCGGGACAGAGCATTCTATTTTATAGATTTTTTTTTTCCACCACCTCGAACTCTTGCATTCGGGATAAATATGCAAGAAATTTACTATGAAAACTAATATGTATATGATATATTGACGAGAGATAGAGAGAGGATAGGGGTCTAAAGCTGCTCAACGAGTTAAGTTATAAGCCCCCTTATACTCGATTTCACTTAAAAGAAGTTGGACCATCCGATAAAAATAAGGGATTTTCATATACCTATACACTATTTGAAATCTTATTACGAAAAATGTTCGTGTTTTGGTATTTATCCGACCAAAACACATTTTACTTACAAAATATATACAATCCACATATATATACAACTAATTATATATTATACAACTTATTTACAATTTTCATATATTATTTCTACCCAGTTATATACAATTACAATATCATACAACTTAAATATAATTTTTATACAATATTGTTCAACTTTCATACAATATATATATATATATATATATATATATATATATATATATATATATATATATATATATATATATATATATATATATATATATACACACACACAATTTTACTACAATTTCCTAAGTATAATGTATGCATGTCTTCTTTTTCTTCTTCTTCTTCTTCTGAAATTCAACCAAAATCAAGTCTAATCTTCACCAAAACACCCTCAAAATTGAGATATAAACTCCAAACCATATTCCCAATTGTTTGAAACAACACCCAATCCAAAAAAATAATGGTTTTTGAAAATCCAAATTCGAATTCAAAGCTTCAAAGCCTTTTAATGGTTGTCAATGGTGGAATTGCTGCTATTTTTTCCTTTGCTTTACATTACTGGAATTAGGGATTGAGAGAGACGTAGAGAGAATTCCCAATTGTTTGCAACAACACTCAATCATACAAATAATATTTTTTGAAAACCCAAATTCGAGTTCAAATCTTCAAGCTTTTTAATGGTTGTCAATGGTGGAATTGCTGCTCTCTTTTTCTTTGCTCTACATTACTGAAATTAGGGATTGAGAGATAGAGAAAGACCTATAGAGAGAGAGAGAGACGGAGAGAGAGAGAGCGCACATGAGGGAGAGAGAATAAGGATGACAAATAATTGATTCCTAATATAAAGGGATACTTATTTAATTACTAGAGTGTATATAATTAGTAAATTTATATATAGGAGGTAACTAAATTGAAACTTGAGTAGGGGGGTAATAAAGTATAGGTATGTAAAAATCCCTAAAAATAAATCTTCAAACGGAGACAAGATTAATTGGTGATCTTTTAGTTTTTTGGTGACCACAAAATTTCTTGAATTGTATGGTTAACAAATTACACGTTATTTTTAGATTTGTCCCTTTTACTTTTCATAATTTTGGCTAACTGTTGTATGCAAATTTTGGATAGAAAATCATAAAATGATGCACATAGACAAAAGTGAAAGGGAGATTACAAAGGAATGAATAAATTGCAGGGTTCAGAAAACAATTACAGCAAGTGCAATTGCAATTGGCCTCAGGAGAGTACGTCAATAAATCGTCCAATAGAATTTCGGAAAAGGAAATCAATAGCCATTGTTACATCAATGTACCCTACGTGATACAATTATCACTATAGAAAACAAATATAGAGTAGTCATAATCTTGATATTGATTGAGAAGCGACATAATTGGTCCTTGTGCTTCTTTTTTTTTTTTAATCGTTTTTTTAGCATTTTAACATTTAAGTTGTTCTTTTTAGCTTTTCATTTCATGGCCGACCTCTTTCTTTGAAAAAATCACATAAAAAGAATCAGAATAGACAACGGTATGGCTCTTCTAACTTTTGCTCCTTTTACTTTTTAAAAGGAGAGCCAATAGTTAAGTTAAAAAGGAACTAATCAAGCCATTAAGATATTCTTAGATTTGGGCAGGGACCTAACTAATTTCCCATATATTTGGGGCTGGAGTCGAAAAAGACCAAATTGTAGACCAAAATTCGTTATTTTATGCTACATGTCATGATGATGTTAGGATGACCAAATTAATAAAAACGGGTCCTTATAACCACTTTGTGTCTGATCTTTGCTACCTCATTGTTCCATCAGTTATTTAGTCAACAAAAGTAATGATTCTTCATCTCCAAATTGGGACCATTTTCATAATAAAGTACGTTTAAACAATGCCAATAATCCAAACGAAGAACTTCGAGAGCAAATACAAAGAAATAAATCAAAACAAAAGGAAAGAACTCCAATCAAAGTTTACCTAGTAGGAGTACTATTTCAAATTTACCAAGTTCTTCTTCTCCTTTTTAATGACCATAAAATGTGAAAGGCCATGACTGAGGTTGCACGGATGGCAAAGTTCATGGCTTGCTATGGTAGGGACATCTCTATTATTTAATTCATTCTTTGTGGTTTTGATCCATTAACTATAATTCTAGAGTAATTGTATGTGTAGCTCGGCGCTTCCTATTGTTGTATGGGGTCAAATTCTGCCCACTATGGAAGCAACGACCCACGACTAAGCAATAGTCGAAGTGAGGGTACGACATAAGAATATCGGAGCGAAAACGCACCTTTAGGTCTCGTCGTCTCTTCGAAAGCACGTGACCTCTCCCTGTATTATTTTATTATTTTTGAGGGGGTTCTCTTGTTATATAAAGGAGAATCCCAATGCTGTAAAGGGGATCGGATCTTGAAACAAAAGAAAAAAAACTTTTTTGCTCTCTCTGTCTTTTTCTCTCTCTCTCTCTAAACAAGTACTCATTTCGCTCTCGAATATCCACGTTGTGGAAGCAATAACAAGCATAATACATATTTCTAGGTCTAATTATACTCGATTACGATTTACCTTTGATTCATTTTGATTGTTTTCGCTTACAAAGTAATTAGTATCTTTTGAGCCAAACAATTATATTGGTCAAGCGAGCCGTCTACTTAAGGTCAGGGGCTCGAAACTCTTTCTGGGTTTTGTTAAAGACCCTCGAGGATTGTGGTGGAATGGATATGTTCTCTCACACCTTAACGAAAGATTTCGAGTTCTAGTCTTAAGAATGAAAAATAATTATGATATATATATTGCGCTTCCCTCTTTTAATGAGCTTACCCCTATTCAACTTTGGATTAATTAGGCCCCAATACAGTTATCGGACCGAATGGAAAAATAAATTGTATATGTAAGCTGAGTTACAAAAGGAAGATCATACGCTGATCCTTTATGTTTGGTGCATGTATGCCCTGTTAGTAGGCCGGGTGGGCTCGGGTTTTCAATTACCAAACAAAACCAGTTGTCTCGGATTTTTAAATGTGTAAACCAAACCAAACCAACAAAAGTCGAGGTTTTCAATCTCGATTTTGCTCGAATTTTTCGGTTTTCTTGGGTGTTTTCGGATAAAATCTTCATAGCATAAAATATATAATTTGTGCTCTAATATTTCTTAAGTCCTAGTAGGATAAAACTATATAAGATGTTTTCCAAGAAAATAATACAAAATAATGTGAGATGAGTCAGGATTATACTAACACTACAAAATAAACCTCAATTGCTAACGAATTTTACCAACCAACCGAATTTGTTAGTGTATTAGCAACAAATTACTAACAAAATCGTAACTGATTTATTTTTCAAAATTTAGTAACATATTCCTAATGAATTGCCAACCAAAATTTTACTAACGGAATAATTTAGTTGGTAAATATGGCGGGAAAAATTGGCGGCTAATCTAGCAACCGCCTACTAACGGATTACCAACTGAAGTATTACCAACAAACACTTTTCGTTGGTAATATTACCAACGGAGTACGTATCCGTTGGTAAATATGGTAGAAAAAATGAAGTATAGTTTATTAACAGATTAGTATCTGAAGCAAGACTTGATGAGAAGAAGCGCAAACATATTCCAGAATCTATTTGGGAGAGCTGGAAGCCTCACTGGGAGACTGAGGCTTTTAAAGCCAAGTCCGCGCAGTGCTCAAGGAATCGACTAAGTGAGAAAGGTGGTGAAGGATCTGGTCCCTCACGCCATACAGGAGGCTCCAGAACTCATCGAGAACATGCAAAAATACTGGTATATTCATTTTACTTTAGCCAAGTTATAACATCTCCACGGCTAATCATTATGTATTAATATAGTGAATGTGATTTTCAATTTTAGGCTAAAGAACTAGGAAGACCACCACATCCACATGAGCTTCTGAGACGACACACATCAAAGCGAACAAGGAGTTTGTGGACCAGAAATCTAGGAGCACATATGTAAGTTATTACAGCTTGACTGTCATTTCTTGACAAGTAAAAGTAAAGCATCTATCTTGGCTACTAGTTTTAGAAACGCAAACTAAATATAATAGTAAAGGTTTCATGGTAAGTCATATAAAAAGAAACTAACTTTTGGTACTTTTAATAAAGAAAAAAATATTTCAGATTGCATTTTTCTCCTTTTAGTAGTATCTTTAGCTAATGAAGTAGCCTTCAGTTCCGCGGTGACCTCTAAAAACATGAAGATCTGCTAATGAGTTTATATTTTAGAAACCTTTTCTCATGTCCTTGACATCATCTTTTCCATGAATTTTTTTTCTCGTCGCCAGATGATTCATTGAGCTCTTTTAAATTTTTCTCCTGTAGAATTTTTGCATTTAAATGTGCTCATTTGTCCTTTGGATTTATAGAGTATAGATATTCCTCTAAGAAAGTATTTTTGAATACAACAATTAGATCTACAGTGTATCTACTTTATAAGGTATGTTGCCATTATATTGTTTATAATCTTTTCCCTTTTCCTTTTTAAGTAGTATACTATCTGTGTGATTGAAACTCCTCTGAGATTCATAACTGCAGTCTTTATTAAGAATATTAGGTTCTGCAGCTGTGTCCAATACTGAGTTTTGATTTCTTAAAGGCATATGATCTTCTCTGCATTTCCTTAGTGACTGATTGTTCCCAGTAGCAATAATTTTCTCTTCAGTAACCTTATAACCTATCTTGACTGATTCTTCATACAATTGTATCATAAAATAAGAGTGTAACACAACCTTTGTATGCTCCTTAACTAATTAGTTTATCTATAGAATAACAAAACCTATTGGATTTCTGAACATGAATTAGACTTCCATCTTACTTTACCTTTGATATTTTATAAATCTGCACATTTAAGCTATAGAACATGTCATTGTTGAAAATTGTTACTTCTTTATCTGAAAGTATAACAAGTTGATGACAAACAAGTAATGCAATGTGTAGGGAAAAATACTGTTGTGTACATCAAAACAATTATTTTCAAGGTGTTATTGATATTTAAGTTTTCAATTTTGTTGCCTTTCTGACTATGTCTTGTTGTTTTCTCTTTCAAAAGTTATTATAGAGTTTATATCATTTTTTTTTTGCTTTCAGGATGCCATAATGTCTAAAATTCTGTCTGTGTCTCAACCTGAAGATACGTCCAGTGAGCCTCCTGAAGTTGATTTCTTACAAATTTATTTGGACGAAGTCGGTGTTAAGAAGACACGCATTTATGGTCTTGGTTCTCAAGCTCCTTTCTATGGGCATGTTGGTGCATCCTCCAGTTCGAAATCTCCGCTTCAAGATCTAGACTTTAATGCTCGGGTGAATGAATGTGTCAGATATCGTTTGCAAGAAATTAAAGAAGAGATGAAGCATGAGATGAGATCAGAGATCAGAGAAGAGATTAGACAAGAAATGAGAGAAGAAATGCGCGAAGAAATGAGACACTAAATGCAACAAGAGGTGCGCGAGCAAGTTGATCAACTACTCCAAAACCGTCTGTCGGTCCTCATAGGTGGCTTACCTACACCGCCTACTCGTAGACATGACTCGTCGTCGAATAATGACGCGAGTAATATTTAGATTTATTTTAGCTTCTTTTATGTTAGACATGTTTCGGATTCCGCTTTCAACTTCATGACATATATTATTATTATTTCTAAAGTGCTATTATGTTTTTTGTTCTGTTTAAGTGTTTTTAGATCTTTTAAAACCTTAAATTAATAGTAATACAATTATTAAAAATAAATTTTTTAATATACCCATTTAATTTGTAACATTTGGTAACACATTTACAATTTGTTAGTAAATTATATGACAAATTACTAACGTAATTTTTAAAAATAGATAACCATATTTCCTAATGAATTTGAAATTTGTTGGTAAATTACCAACAATTTACTAAACAGAAATTTTCCAGAAATAAAATTACCAATCGATTACCAATGTATTTTTTAAATTATACTATCGGATTTACCAACCAAGTTGTTATCCGTTATTATAGTTGCTAACGGAATACTAACGGAATTTTTCTTGTTACTATATTTACCAACGGATTACAAACACAATTTAAATAATGAAAAACCAAATTTACTAATCCATTTTCTATCTGTTAGTAAATTACTAACGGACTTCCAACCAAATTTTGGTTAGTAAATTTACCAACGGAAATCTTGGACTTAAGATTCAAAAATTACCAACAAATTCATTTGATGTTTACTAACTGAAATTTAGTTGTTAATTTTACCAACAAATTCAAGCCGGTTGGTAAAATTTACCATCGAGCCTTTTAGCAACGGATCAATATCTGTTGGTAATCTGTTAGTAACTCAAATTGCTAACCAATTTAATCAATTTACCAACAAATTATTTTGTTGGTAATTAGGTTTTTTTTTTGTAGTGTAAAGTACTCAACAAATCGCATAAAATTAATAGTGCTAATTAAGAAGCCATAATGAAATTAAACATAACTTAAAATTACTATGTCATGCTAAAATAAATACTAAGTATTAGTTACATGACTAAATGCCCGTTTGGCCAAGCTTCTAAAATTAACTTATTTTGAGAAGTGCTTTTCTCAAAAATACTTTTAAAAAAAGTGCTTTTAGTGAGAAGTAGTTTGTGTTTGGCTAATTAATTAGAAAAGCACTTTTGAGCAGTAATTAGTGTTTGGCCAAGCTTTTGAAAACGGCTTCTAAGTATAATTTTCTCAAAAGTGCTTCTCAAAAAAGTGCTTTTAGAGAGAAGCTACTTTTTTCTGCTTCTCCAAAACTGCTTCTGCTTCTCCTCAAAAGTACTTTTTTTCCTTCCAAAAGCTTGGCCAAACACCTCAATTTTTGGCCAAAAGTGCTTTCGGCCAAAAAAAACACTTTTGGCCCAAAAAAAAAAAGCTTGGCCAACCAGGCTATAAATAATGATAAAAATAAGTTAGCATTTTCACTATATAAACCAATGCAATACTAAAAGAATAAATATACAATACTATTGTCATTCCTACTTCCTAGTATTGATCGGTTTTTTTTTAAGCATTAGTATTGATTTGATTTTGATTTGGACTTTATTTGAGTTACTAACTTTTGTGGGCTATAAAACATATTTGACCATTCAAAAATTCTAAGTTCTAGCTTGAAATAATACATTAAAAGAGAGAACTATGAAAAACTTTAAAAATATTTATAAATTACATATAATAATTATTTTTATGTGTAATATATTTTTAAAACTTGTATACATGTAATGTCGGGTTAGTTTGATTTTGGGTTGACTTTTCTAGTTAAAACCAAACCAAACCAATTATGATCTGATTTTTTTTCTAACACCAAGCCAAATCAAATCAAACCATAGTCGAATTTTTTTCTTGGTTTGACTTGGATTATCGATTTGGTGTGGTTTTGTCGGTTTTCTTTGTACACCTCTACCTGTTAGAACCTTTTATGGACTTGCACATATATGGTATTAAGAATAATTGTATGTTAGTTGTTATCATTAAAAGGTTGACCCATATTAAAAGTGATCTGCTAAGATTTAAAGTTAAGTGGGTCTATAAGACACCTCCTAACGTATGGGGTCTAACGTGTAGATACCCGAATATAATTTCTAATTTAATGATGGACTAAATTAGAATTACATAAACTCGTGCACCTATTAATAGGGTAATGGTGTTTTCTTTCTAGCATCTCATCATTGGAAAGAAGAAAACGGTCTAAGTATTGGTTTGGAAGACCACAAGACACAAGTTTCATTCGGTCCCATGGATTCAGGTACGCTTCCGCATTCAGTTTTATTCTTGACGATTTGACATGATAAATTTTGGGTAAAAGATGACAGTTTTTATATTTAAAGTATTTTAGTTCTAACAATTGGCATTAGAGCCTATATCACGTTAAATCATTAAGAATTATTTTTGGTTTAACTGCTCTGCAATATGAGTTTTTAAAAGGATTATATGACGTAGTCAAAGTCGAATCAATTTTCTGTATTGAAAATTGAAGGCTACGGTCAAAAGGATTTTAGTTTGTGCTTAGGGTTTACTCGTGTGCTACTATTACGGTAATATCAATTTCATCATGGAGATATACTCTTTGCCACCAGAAAAGATTTATTCTTTATGAAACAATATTGTGGATCCTTTGTATGAATAGAGATCAATGCAAGTTTTGTTCCTATCTAGTAGTAATTGTTTTAATATTTGGACCCCTATCATGAATCATGAACAAGTTATTTCGATTCCATGTCTTATATTCATCATTATCATATTTGGCTTTTAGTTAACTTTCAGAAGTAGAATTAGAACCAGAATAATGATAAATATAAGGGACGAGATTAGAGAGGATTAAGAAAAGTTTAAAGCCGTCGTTGTTCTGACGAGAATACGGCGTGAATTTGGTGAAAGTTGGACTTTGATTTCCTCCACTATGGTTGTTGTAAGGCTATTGAAAGCCTTTTTCACAATTACAATGCGTGAATTAAGGTCAGCATGCAAGGTTAATCGTTTTGGGGTTTCTACATCCACTCAATATATGTTACTAGAAAAGCTAATATATCATTTGTTCCCTCATTAGTTTTTGGATACAGTGAATATGACTTTTTTTTTTTTTTGCTAATAACAAGCATTTTATTTATTTAGAACATAGTTATTACAAGGAGGGGATGAAACGTGCAGTTCCAGTGCCCCGCGAGTCCAAAAGTAAGTACGGCAAAACAAAAAGTGGGGGGTATTAAAAACTAGAACATCAGCAAGCTGTATAAGACTAAGCTCCTTGCCAAAATGTGCCGGTGCATCTGCAATAGTATTACCCTCCCTGTAGGTGTGGTTGAGCTGTGGCATACGTAAGTCACGCAACGTCAACCTACAAGCATGAAATAGATGTGAGTATTTCGGAATACCTTGTGGTAGTAGTGTGAGAACGTTCAACTGCTTATTCATAACACCATTCCAAACCTTGACACCACTACCGATGACTCACCCCACTGGCACCCTACCTCTGATGGCCGCTTTTCCACATCATCAGCTTACCGTCTACTTATCCTTTATCAACCTCACACTCCCCCCTCCTTCCAACATTAGTGGATCTGGACCATTCCTACACTTAACAAAATTAAACATTTTCTTGGGCTTCTTCTACACCAAGCTTTACCCACGAGGCAACTTTTAGCATTCCGCAACATCATCCCCCGATCGCAATGCACTTTCTGCTCTCACCCTTCCGAAGATTTACTACATATTTTCACTGCATGCCCACCGGCCACTCGCATTTGGCAACACTTCCAACTACCCATACCACAGGATAACCATGCCCGATGGCTCAAACACATCTGTACCTCCACAACCTCAATTAACCTCAGATCTTCTCTCCCCCACCCTCGTACTATTCCTCTAAGGAACATTGCTCCTTTCATCCTATGGAACATTTGGCTCAACCGTAATCATACTTTTTTTTTACCATGATACACGTTTGATCATGTCACGACCCTAAATCCCAACCCGGTCGTGATGGCGCCTCTCGTGAAGACAAGGCCAGCCAACTAACCCAATTCACCTTTCTAAACAGTTAAACAACATAAAGAAGTCTAAAACATGATTTAATAATAGTAAGTAGTGGATAATATCAATAAAGTGCGGAAATATAATCCAACACAGCCCTAACCAGGGTGTCACAAGTCATGAGCATTTATAAGTCATACTACAAGTCTGCTAAGCCTGAAAACTAGTACGTCTGTCTGAAACATGATAGAAATGATAAAGGAAGAGAAACACGGAAACTGCGGACGCCAGACAGCTACCTCGTGTACTCCGAATGCCCGCCTGAAGCTGGAAGGATCAGGACTCGGGAGCAAAACCAATTACGCCTGAATCTGCACACGGGGTGCAGGGAGTAAAGTGAGTACTCCAACTCAGTGAGTAACAAATGTAAATAATGACTGAAAGTAAGAAAACACGTAAGGCAGAAGGCATTCTATAATGAAGCAGTAAAACCAATTAAAAACATTAACCAGTGAAAAGTCAAGTAAAATCCTTTTTCAACAATAAACAGGTAATTGACAGACAGTTAAGGTATAGTAAACAATTAGAACCTCGCCCCTCGGGAACAGTGTCAACAAAACCGCCCCTTGGGCAACATCTCAGAACAATACCAGCCCCTCGGGCTCAATCTCACATCATAATGGGAACCCAAGCGAAAACAATCAATAAAGGGCACAAATCCTGAAATTACCCAAACCCGACCCCCGGGCCCACGTCTTGAAATTTAGAAATTTTCACACCAATAGAATCCTTATCTCCCCACGAGTTCATACATATCAAGAATACTAAAATCGGAGTCCAAATGGCCCCTCAAATTCTCATTTAAAGGCCTCTTAAACTCAAGCCCTAATCCTCCATTTTAGCCCTTTAATTCCTTTAATTACATCCTTAATCCATGAAATACTACCATAGAAATGTGTTTTAGGTCCAAAATCCTTACCTTAGCGATGTTCCCTTGAAATCTCCCTTCCAAATCGTCCAAGAGCTCTCAAGCCGAAGTTAAAAATGGTGAAAACCTTCAAAAATCGCGAAGGAAAGCTTATATACATTCTACCCAGGGGTGCCCGCACCTGCGGTCCAAAACCCGCTTCTGCGGTACCACATTTGCGGTCCACCCTCCGCTTCTGCGGAAATCA